AAGCTATTTATCTGCAGTGGACTCCTGAGGGTAAACGACTGATTACGGGTGCATCAACGGGCGAGTTCACATTATGGAATGGAACAGCTTTCAACTTCGAAACAATTCTACAGGTACTGGAAGCGGTATTGTTCTGTCCGTATGTATTTTTATTATTACGATCGTAATTGAAGTAGTGCACCTTTAAAAACGGTGTCAGTTTTGCTGATTTTAGTCTTGCTAGTTTTCGTTGTCCATAAAGGACGTGAAATTACTTCATGTTGAAGAAGCGGTGAATAAAGCTTCGCAGAGATGCCGCTGATTATTCTACCCATTTTGACCGTTTAATTGTAAACGTGAAGTGGGTGAATAAAGGGATTCTCTCATGTGTGTGTACCCAGCATACGCAAAATGAAGTATCCCACGGGGATTTTTGAAATTGTGCAACAGAAGAAGGGGTTAAATTCAGGGATATTTACTTCTGAAGTCATCGCTGTAAAAGAACAAGGAGGAATTGGGCTTGCAGTGCGGCGAAAACTCGCTGAGGGAGGGCTGTTCGCAATTTCCTACAAAAATTTAATGAGGGCAACGATAGACCGTAGTTGAGGGGGCGAACCAGGAGGGGTGCTGTCTCTACGTTAGGTTTGCCATTGTACCCTTAGGCATCACAGCTTTGATTTTAGAACAGCGTGCACCTTTTGCGAGATCGCTCCAGAACGACGTTTTAGCTTTCAGCTCTATTGAACACGCTTCGCGAAGCCAACTTTTATTGCTTCGATAAAAGTGTTGCTACAAGAGGAAAGTGGATTGCATCGATAGAGCAGACATTGACGAGGGTTTTTGGCCATAACATAGCCATGGTAAAAATTCTAAGTCTAAAAAGGAGAAAGGCCTTTATTATATGTGCAAGCCTTCGTACCGATACTACTATTGCGATGCCACAAGGTGTGGGTCAGATGTCCCAATCAGCTCCTTCAACCATGATGAGATCTTCGGCTATTTGACGTTGAATTATAAAGGAATAACATCTTCACCATTGATCAATCCCTTTCTGGGATAAGGCTCGCATTTTACATTCAGAATCGTAGTGGCTTATTGAATGCGATGTGGCCTATACAATGACTTGCGGTGGCCAGCCGATGTACAAGTCAATGTCTCTTCCCAGACAAATCTGATATCACTTAATCGGGTAGAAGGCTTGGATGGCCTGGGCAGGAGGCGAGCCTGGATTTGACCCCTGGACGGCGTGCGTGCTAAGCGTACTACTTGCCACTACACCTCTGCCAGACCTCGTAGATATCAACTGCTTGTTCTATTACATAATCTTAGCCTTGTGAATGGTTTTCTTTAGCCTTTTAAACGTGGTGTCTATTGACAACACCAATGGGGATGTGCCCATTGGGATACTTACTCAATTAGTAGTCATTGGTCTTCCGTGAGAATTGAGTTTTTAGTTGGATATTCTAACAGTGTGCCAAACAGTAGAGGTTCCAAAACGTTTCATTTCATAGGTATTCGTACGTTCGAGCTTTGTGCCCTCTGTTGCTGGACGTATCAGTGACTGAAATTGAATTTAACTGACTTGGATTCACGTGAAGAGAAGCAATATAATTTCCCATGACAGCTGACGGAATGAGTCTTTAACCGTCAACTTTCACGATGTAGTCTTCAGATTTTACTCTACCATTCGGCTTTGCAATCACTATTGTTCGCTACAGTGCTTTCCTTTTTCTGACTGTTTCCTACCAAAAAAAAGACTAAAGATTAGCTAAGAAAAAAATCTGAAGACCGGTCAAAAATACCTAGCATCTCCTGCTACATGCTTCACCGCTAATCTACAGCCCTCTATCAAATCTGATTCCGAATTAATTCTCTTGAAAGCGTATTGCATGTGTTTTCACGTCTTATGGCAGCTCAAAGCGAGTACTTGATAATTTTCGCAGAAAGGCCCTCAGTTTAGAACGACGCACACAACTTGTCGTTAGGGCTCATGATTCTGCCCAGTCACGGTCACCCTGCATATTTCTATGGCTCGTCTACAGTTCTGATCCCTGCAAATGGTAGGGCCTGTGAAGGGGCGTGGACTGGAGCCACAGCCAGGGTAACGATTTCCACCTGTTGCCGACTAAGGATGGCATCATTGGCAGAAAAGTTTGTCCTGGCTGCGCTCCAGTCCACGCTCCATCACACGGACTATCGTTGGCGGTGATCATGAGTGTACAATGGTTCATTAAACATACAGAATTTGTTTATAGATTTGCTCCAACTGATGTAAAACTGGCGTCCGCATCTGATGACGGTACTGTTCGTATATGGGACTTTGCTAGATGTGTTGAAGAAAGAGCTATGCGTGGTCATGGCTCGGAGGTTAGTTTCAAATTATCGCTAGCCTAGTAAGGCTTTGTTCATAAGTGACTAGCTGAGCCTTGAGCGATTTAGCAGTCCGGTGAACCGCTGCTATATCCGCAGGAGCACGGCTCGTCATACGTTGGGGATCCACAGCAGGGCGGTCGTATTTGCTCGCTGGAGGGAGGGTGTCGTATTTGCCTTTGAGAGGAATGTTTTTGATTTGTGGGCCTTGAAAATACGCGGTTTCAAACTATGAACAATCTATGAGAGAACTACTACTATTTTATCTTTTTTTCGGTATCAGTATGCAGTGTGCTCTCGTCCCTCCCCCCCCCGTCCCTCCTCCTTTACCGCACTCTTCTAACTTAATAGCTTTTTTTTCACAGAGTGGAGACATCTTGGGAAAACTCCAGAAGAATGATAGAAGTCGGGGAAAAATTCAGGAAGATGGTGGGTAGGAGGGGAGAGGAAGGGGGTCATACAAGGGGAGGAACTTTTAGGGGGAGGTCGTATTTGGCGAGCTTTTTCTCCCAGGACGGCTTTTTCCCAGCGGGCAGGACGTGCCCTGTTTGCGATTCCTCGGACTGCAAAAAAAACTTCCTTGTCTAGTTGAGCCGAATGTTGCGAGAATTCGACTGTAGCCTATTAACTTAATCTAAAATTCTATAAAGGCAGCTTTCAGGTGAGATGTGTCGCGTGGCACCCATTCAAGGGTATGATAGTAACCGGATCAAGAGATTCTCAGCAGCCGGTGAAGTTATGGGATCCAAGGACAGGGGACTGTCTAACGACTTTGTAAGACATCACTATTGTACTCTATAAACTCCACCGATGTTCATTTTTATGATAATAACAATTTGCAGGCAAGATCACAAAAGTTCTGTGATGGCTGTGGATTGGAACCGGAATGGTAACTGGTTGCTGACAGCGGGTCGTGATCATCTTGTCAAACTCTATGATCTACGCGTTATGAAGGAGATGTACTCTTACAAAGGGCACAAGAAGGAAGTCACTTGTAGGTCTATCAAGTTTTGGAAGCAGTTCCTCTTGGTGGAGGCACGAAATGGTATTGAGCAGAGCAGGGCACTTTGTGAAGACGCGTGAATTCCTGTGACTAATTTGGTCCATTTTATGGCATAGGAGTTGACATTCTCACCAACGATATTTATCGCCTGCTTCCTGATAAGTGGTTACCGTTTCTTTCTCAATGAGATATTTAGTGGATCGTAGGCTCAAGTGGGGCAGTTTTACTGCCATGTGCGCCATGTGCGAAGGCGAAAAAGATGAAAATAGCTATGATGAAAATTTGGCTGATATCTGAGAGTTATGGTAGATATCGTAAAATGAGAATTTTCCAGCTGTCTCCTGGCATCCTATACATGAAGGACTGTTTGTCTCTGGTGGTGGTGACGGCTCTATTGCTTACTGGTTGGTGGAAAATGAGAAGGTGAGTTCCAGTTGTCCCCAATAATATTTCTTTATTGATGTGTTTACATACACAAAAAACCAAAAATATTATCTCTGCAAAGTTTACTTATCTAACAAAAACAACGATTAGAGTGCATCGTATGCAAACATACACTCCATAATCTGAAATTAAAAAGGGCGTTTGTGGGCAGTTTATCTTGGCCTAGAATGCGTTTATCGCGGAATATTTGAATTCGAGATAGCAGTCATCCTGTCTCTTGGTGGGCAGAAAATATGGTTACAGTTGTCCGAAACGGCAACACCTTACCGCTGCGTCGCCACGCGGTACGCCACCCCGCCCACTTCATTTCTGGGATAGGGGAATCGACTGTTTAATATGCAATGAGAGGATGGGTGAAGGTGTAAGAGATGAGAGGGTCGTCATGTGGGTGGTCACAGTGTTCATTGTTTAGCAAGGCACTTCAGATCAATATCTTGGGTTTTCTTCAAGAAGAGGGAAACGGGATAGGGTTGGAAAAAGTTCCATTTTTTAGCGCTTGAGTTTAACCAGGAGGATGTTAGCGTATGACGCGTATGGATCAGGGCACGTCCTGCCGTTGAGGAAAACTTTTGCTGAATATGCCCCCCCCCTCCGAAGTTTCGACTCTGCCACCCCCACCCTACCTACTATGTTCCTAAGTTTCCCAACATTCCTACCGGGTAGGTACGGCACTCCCTCCTGCCTCCAGCGACCGAAAACGGCCCCCTTCGCTAGGGATCCCCAACGTGCGACGTGCCCTGGATACTGTCGATAGGCCATTATCAGAAGAAGAATTATTATTAATTATTAGAACGATCATAGTTTCTCGACTACTAACCAGTTTTCAGGAGGTTGCCTTCCTAGAGCATGCTCATGATCAAGCTGTATGGGCCATGAAGTTCCATCCTATGGGTCATATATTGGCTACAGGTACTGTTTCATCTTCTTCGAACGTTCTTCGGTACTGCTTTAGTAGTTCTCAGCTAATTTCACAAATTTGCAGGGTCTAATGACAACAATACAAAGTTCTGGGCACGGAACCGACCTGGTGATACACAGGAGGATATCTTCGGACTCGCATCTTTCACGACCAATATGGTATTCATTTATTTATTCGTTTATTTGTTTATTCACACTATAACACTATAAGGTACTCCTTGTACGGCAGAAATTATTATTCATTATGTACGGTACACGGTTGAAAAACAAAGGGAAGGGGCTTACAGTTATCCATTGGCTTACCTGAGAAGAAGGAAAATTACAATTGGATGCTTGTAAGGTAGTCCTCCCGCACTGGTAGATGAGTAACTCCACTGCGTGATCTACTTCCGTACATAGAACGCAAGATCGTCATAATACTGAGGCTCGCCGACGGTTTGACCCGAACGCATACCTTCAGGCCCCAGGCCAACAGCGGGGAACCTCAAGCAGAGGCTTCCATTACAGTTTGGGGGCATCAGACTAGAACAAATAATCAAAACAGTCAGTTCAAAGAAGGTATATAACATTGTGAAATATAACTAACGTAAACTTTAAAACGTTCTCAAAGGACGCAGTTCCGTCACAATTTTTTACGAAAGTTTTTTTAAGGTTGGCGCTTTGGATAAAGAACGCGAGCCGAAAAGTACCTCAGTGCGTCTCGACGATGAACTTCTTGCTCCTGTTATTCCTGGTAGGTTGAAGTCTGAGTCCTAGAACGAAATTCAAGTTTTAGTGAATTCAAGTCATGTTTTGCCAGTTATGG